TCTCTCACTGTATATACAATATATATCTGTAATATTATATATCTTGTCCAAGAAATCGATGCCAAACCATAACTTATGTTCAATAACTGAAATTCTGTTCATAGAGTGTGTATACATGTCTTTATTCTTATATATATTATACATAACATTCTTTTCTCTCAAGTGTTTTTCATATATTTTAGAGAGAGAGAGAGAGAGAGAGAGCACTTTCAACGCCAAAAATGAACTTTAAAATAGCGATATTCTCGAGTGAGAAATGATGAAATTCTGTTCATAGAGTGTATATACATGTCTTTATTCTTATATATTATACATAACATTCTTCTCTCTCAAGTGTTTTTCATATATTTTAGAGAGAGAGAGAGAGAGAGAGAGAGAGAGAGAGAGCACGAAAGCTTTCACTAATTGAAGCAAATATTTATTGCATTAGAAATAAACGTATATAAAGATAGAAACGGAGAGAACCCGAGATATCTTATAGTTTTGCCTTCAATTTCGTGAAAAACAATCCCAACATATAATGAACTTAATATTACTCGATATATATTGACTTATAAACCCTCTCTTTCTGTTTCCCCTTTTTATATAATAAAATGTGAAATATTGTACAGTAATTGCCATTACTTACTGTATATACCGTTATATAATCATTACTACAGCTGTTTTTGGGCTCACGATTTGTTTAGCATTAGGTATAATAGTGATTTTGTTTTAGGGAGAGAGAGAGAGAGAGAGAGAGAGAGAGAGAGAGAGACTTGATAGAGAGGCAGCGCTAAGAGAGTACACGACAATTAAGTCCAATTCCCGGTGTATTTTGTAATGCCTTTCGAATATTTAATGAGAATTTTGTGATCATACGTTATATAATCATTACTACAGCTGTTTTTGGGCTCACGATTTGTTTAGCATTAGGTATAATAGTGATTTTGTTTAAGGGAGAGAGAGAGAGAGAGAGAGAGAGAGAGAGAGCATATGGGGAGGGGAGGGCTGGGAGGAGATGGCTGATGAACAGAGAGGACATTTTGGTGGCACTCTTCCATTATATGATCACAAAATTCTCATTAAATATTCGAAAGGCATTACAAAATACACCGGGAATTGGACTTAATTGTCGTGTACTCTCTTAGCGCTGCCTCTCTATCCAGTCTCTCTCTCTCTCTCTCTCTCTCTCTCTCTCTCTCTCAGTAGGGCTAGTGTTGGTCCAATTAGTGCCATTTATCACGTATTACGAATGCAAATGTTAATCACGACTTATATACTCTGGTATACAGTACTAGTGCTCTACTGGGGCTCCAGCGATGCCAATAAGGGCTTAAGCAACCAAATGGTACGGCCATTACATCACACATCAGAGACATTGTCTCTCACTCTCACACATAATAATAGTTACAATTCGTTTGGCATTTATCTAAATATAAAGAGACGATAAATGCTTAACAAAAATCTATGGCATTGTGTCTAAACGTCTTGCGACTGGTTTTTCGACGACTTTTGCAAAACACGACAAATGACTGCACTTTTGATTTGATTGCACGAAACAAATACAACGTTAATAATTGTCGTAACAGTTATTTAATATTATGCTGTATATGAAGATCGGCTTCAGATATGACTTAATAATAATAATTGTTAAGCTCTGGGAATATGTTATGTTTAATTTCATGAATAATATATCAGTTTTAGCACATATTCAGTGTATATGCGTTTTCTCTGTGCCCAACATTCATGCCATTCACTCATTTATCATTGTTTTTGAAAATACTCTTAACTTTTATACACAATTTGTACGTAAAATATGTGCAATCTTTTTAAAAAAGTGATTAATTTTAAATTTTATTGTTCTTTGAATTCCTTCTCACGTCTTAATTATTAGTATTTTTATGATTTATTGATTTATATAAATTTTATATTTTTAAAATAAATTCCTTGTGTTAAAATTTGACATTACATTTATTAAATTCAATCGTTTATAAAATTTTTATACAGAATTACTTTTTATAAAACGTTAAATTGCAACAAAATTTAAATATACAGAATATTCTGTAACTTTAAACAAAAATTCACAAAATATTTAAGTAATTTACACTCAAATAATAGGCTGACAATAATATCTTGTGAGTAATAATATCCAAATAGTAAATATTAACTCAATTCTAGAGTGAATGTTTTGAGCACTATTTCTCTAAATACTTTCCTATCTCTTACTCCTAACTAAACAATAATAATAAAAAGTGTTCACAAACTAAACAAACGAATGACTTTTGTGTTCAATAATTTATCAAATACTCTAAATTTTACGATCAATTTTATAACATTAAGACCAATCTCTCGGTCTCTCTCTCTCTCTCTCGGGTGTATATACTGTAGTGTTTGAGATAATAGTTTAGGAGTCGAAAGCATTTATACATAGAAAGTGAGTGCGAAATAGATTTTGAAGATAATAACAAAAATGGGCCGATTTTAACACAATTTCTCACAACAATTCTCTTATTAAATACAATACAATAGCAAAGCGCAAAGAATCAGATGATAGCATAAAACACATTCAAATTTATCTGTATATAATCTTTACTATAATTTCTCTCTCTCTCTCTCTCTCTCTCTCTCTCTCTCTCCGCAGTAAAATTTGCTGCACTTTTTGGTTTTATATATAAATGTTAAATAATTTTATTAAACGAGACAAAAAATCCGTCACCAAAACTCTTTGCTTTCCAAAACAATGAATACATTGAATGAAAAGTTGTCTACAAATTCTGTCACAAGTATTATAATAAATTAGGAAAACTTTATCATCATTTATATAAATTATTGTCTTTTTTTTACTAATTATAATCTAAATATATTACTAAAAACATACCATAATTACATCACACTTTTTAATTAAGGGATTCATTAATAAAAACCAGTAATGAATAGTAGCCTAAGACTTTAATTCAACAGCAATTTTGAATAACAATCAGTTATTACTCTATAAATCATAAAATGTCTAAAAATGGGAATATCTTTCGCATAGCAAATAAAAACAAAACAAATCAATAATATTATTAATTATAATATTTGAAAATTAATACTAATTGTGTTGTAATCATAACAGAATGTAATTATTTTATAATATTTAAATCTCAATAAGTATTACCACTTTAATGATAACAATAACATAAAAACTACATAAATACTAGTTTCTAAAAATTGTTGACATATTTAAAATAAATTAAAAAAGATTTAAATCTAACACAACAAATAATTGAATTAAAAATAGCAACAATTGATTAAACATTTTACAAGACTATTGAATATAAAATTACAGCATAAAAGTTAATGCAAACAAAAAAACAAATTTGAATGAATGCCTACGAAATGAGTGATTTTATGGTAAAAAAAACTTCAAGCCTTTAGTCCAATACAAAGACATTCTTCCGACACAATCGCTCATCAATGCATCACTCAATCAATAATCGCATCATTTTCTCCCCAAAAAACTACCAAAACTTGCGCTTCATTTACTTCAACAACAAAAAAGTAATTGTTTACAGAATATGTCGAAACACTAATACATTGTATGATAAGTGTATTCATTAGATAATTATTCTGTGTTTACATTTCGCTTCAATTTAATCTCTTTATACATCTTATAAGAGAATAATAATAAGAGTCAAGAATTTAGTGAAGGAATTGATTAAATTAAATCAATTTACATTTCATAATAAAGATTTCAAATTATAATTTTATTTGGTTCACTAATTTTCAATATATTTCACTTAACATAGACTTTTCAGACATATTTTAGCTAATAATAAATGAATTATTGAACAAAATCATTTATGAATATAATAGTTGCATATTTTGTATGTGATTTTAATTGAAGTGTTTGTATTAATAATAGCATAATGTTAACAATAATAAATACAATGAGAGCTCTTTTGTATTTAAATAAAATTAACTTAAACTTAAATATTGATATGGATCGCATGACTCATATATCATAAACTTCTATTGGTTTAATTCTGTAACTTTCCATATATTTAAATTGTATGCTTTATCTCACAACCAATCCTAGCATTCAGTTTCCAACTGTTTTTCTCACCCTTACCTCAATTCTCACTTACACTACACGTGTACAGTCCCTACTTAAGAGCCATGCATGCCATGCCTTAAGTCAGTCTCTGTCCGAGCCCTCGACTGTTCAGTCGCTCCACAGACTCCACTCTATCTGAGTGTCAGCCATTACTCCATTGTCTTAACCACATGTGCTAATCGGCCCTATCTGTGGCCAGCATTTTATCGTATATTTCTTATACCATTTTATTGTGCTTTTAATTCAGTTATACTTATTTTGTTATCCATTCATTGTGACTAAAATAAACTCGTTGACCAAACAGTACTTATTTTGTGCCCAAATCATTTAAACCCAACTCTGGAGACAAAAGTACAATTGTCTGCCAGCCGTCCATTTTGATCAGAAATATTATAATCGAAATCAATCAGAGGTTTTCTGACCAAATCATTGTATCAAAGTTTGGACTCAATCATCACCGCTCGTCACTCCTCCACACCTCTGGCCACGATTTGTGTGATCACTCTCTGACCTAAAACAGTTGGCCAGAGAGCAAACCCTTCACACCACTCTTCCACGACATTATTCTCTATCGGCGAGTCTCGACCAGAGCTCACGCCGTAAGAATATTAAGTCATGAATTAAATACAATTAATAAAGCATAATCCGATTGTGACATGAAATTTATAGCAAAACAATAAATTTTATTTTATGGCAATTAATAGGATTTGAATACATATTTGTAATACATAAATACACAATTTAGATTTTTATAGTTTTAATAAATTACATCATTTTGCAAATTTTTATAAATATTAATTTAAGTTAACTTGTTTTCAATTTTAATATAAATTCATTGGAAATTATTGGCGCACAATTATTTATTATTTAAATTTAAGACAAAATTAAGATAATAATCGAAATGAAGCATGATAATTAACGAGAATTAGAATCTCATTTTAGAGTACTTATCCATTATAGCAATGGCTTCGACATACTTTTTCTTATCGTTTTCCAATTCAATCCTCATTTCTCTGTCCGGATCTTCACCAATGATTTCATCGATTGTCTTGAATTGGCCTCTAATGCCGGCCTGGAGTTCGGTTCCAATGAATTTTTCGGTCGCCTTAATGAGCTCTAATTGACACAATTTAGGCAAACGATCCCTACATTAAACACATTATAATAAAACATATTTCATACTAAATATTATATTCAATAATATTCATAACAAACTTAAATGTCTTCTTAAGGATAACAAAATATGTGTGAAGATATCGCTTCACTTCATCCACTTGTGGTTTCATTACGTCGGGGAACGCCATGTCTTGAGACAAATCATTGGCAATTAATTGGGAACCAGTTTTGAAAGGTTTTGAATCCCAATCAATGGTTTTAATAATTGTCTGATTACTTTCAGGAGCTACCCCAGCTTTCAATAACCATTTAAACCAATTATCCTTTGATTCCGGTTTATCAAACGATAAGATAAATTGCTTACTTAATCGATAACTAATTAAACAAATTATATTATAATAATATTTTCTTTGATTGAAAAAAACCAATAAAAATATATAAATAACCTTTTTGGTAAAATGATAGCTAGTTTAAGATCTCTCTTTGCCATCAGACAGCCCTTTAAATCGAGTGAACCTTTTTTACCATTTTGTTTCTCGTCTTTAAACCAGTAAAGAGTAGTGTCTTTGAGAACAAAATACAAGTCATTCTTCTTGTATGAAATATAATCGGATTTCAAATTCTGTGTGTTTTGCTGAATAGCATTCACTGGTGTCGCTGCTATGGGTCTTATCTCACCATTACTTGTTAAAAGACATACATAAAAATTAATTAATAAATATTAAATACAAAATAATAGCATTGTATTGAATACCCAATCATTTCAAGGAAGTCCTCGTGAAGTGTGTTTGGATAACATATTTCCATTTTAATCATATGTTCGGCTATTTGTTTGCATTTCTTAGTGGACTGATGGACAAAATCTAGAGTCAAATCTGCAAAAATATTTCTTTAAAGAGAATCATTTTCATTAAATTATTATTATTATAAAATATTTATATTTATATACTTTAAATTAGGCAAACAGTTGATATCTTTCAAACATTTGTTGATTGTTTTGGTGATTTCATCGCTAACCCAATCGATACAAGCAATGGACGGCGTTTTAAACAGTTCTGATAATATTAATAGCGTTATTGAAAAAACATTATAAAACTGCTTTAATTAATCAATAATTACCAATCTGTGGGCCAACACATGAAGTGAATGCGGCGTCGGGTATGAAAACACCCAAACGAGTGCCGAACGAGTTTTGAATAGCGTTCGCGATATTATAGCCCAAACGCTTCTCGTCGTAAAACAAGAGATCAATCTCTTTGGGAAACGTGTCATTCATTAGGACATTGATTTTCGCACCACAACTCAAATCATTTACATCTACTTTCCAAACACTGCCTCCCATTGAGCTCTTAAAGTGATTGCGAAACGACTCAATTGTTTGCGCCAATAGTCTCTCCTTTTCCATTGAATCCTCCGGAAACTCAATTTTTAATAATTCTTGATTAATTTCGGATAATTTCTCCTCTGTTTTGGTCTTCAATGGCGGCAATCGGGAGGAAATGTGGGCAAAGAGTTCTGACTGAAGAAATTGTTGCAAATGTTTAATACCCATACGTTTAGCCATCGATGGCCCGTACGCGGGGTGATCCAAAAAGAACTTGTGTTCGTCTTCCAGTGCTTTCTTCATATTTTTATTTCCGTCGATGTCTTTTTGGGATCTGTTAACCACTCCGTGGAAACCTCTCTTCAAACGGATGCCGTGTTTTCCTAACAGTATATTGCGGGCATCGGTTCCCTTATCCATGAGATCCAGTTTTGTGAGGACACCGATAGTGCGGTCGCCCTCGGGATCCACTTTATTGGCCAGTTTTAAGGCATCAGATGTCGCCAAATCTGGATTAAGAAATAATTTTATAAAAATATTAAATATAACGATTATATTACTGAATACCCTGATTGGCTGCAGTGACGGCCAAAATGAGACAATTATCACCAGAAATGTAATCCAAAATCATTTTTTCAATTTGAAACTCAATGTCTTTGGGCTGATCCCCGACCGCCACTCTTGTCATTCCCGGCAGATCTACAAGAGTTAGATCCAACATTTCAGAGGAATATATCTTCAGATTGATAGGAATGGGAGATATTCCGCAACTTTCGGGAACCTCTCGATTGGTTTCGTTAATGATTTCATCCCTGATTTCGTCGAAATCGTAGAAATCTTCGGCTGAATGAGAAAATTGAGCCAAATCTGCGAAATACACATAAATAATCAATTTCATGACACAATTAGAGGATATTTCAATTTCATACCCTCTTCCCTATCTTTCTCTGAAATCAATTGCAGAACGAGTGGTCTTCGGGTGACAATACCCGACCCGCGGGGCAGGAAATCCTGGCCAACAATACTCTCCAAAACACTGGATTTACCCGAAGACTGACCACCGATGACAACGATTTGTGGCAAATCAAACTCGAGATTGTCTTTAAGTATATCTTGTAACTCATTGACAACTTGTATGAGATTTTGAGCAAATTTAGGCATTTTTAAAGCAATTGTCGATACGATTGAATACTAGACTTATTAACAAAACTGCAGTATTAATGCCAATGAAAATAATTGCTTTCAAACACTTTTAATGAATTAAAATGTTAGTGAAAATACAGTTCCGTTTAATGAGTCATTATAAAAGCAATTATTTTATTAATAAAAATGCCAACATTTAATACATCATTGATAATAAATTGTAAATAATTAATTATTGACATGCAATTGATATACATTATTAACATATGGAAATCTTTATTAATATTACACGGAAACTACTATTAGGGGAAATTGAATTTATTTAACACTTTATAAGTGAACAACTTATAATGATCTTGCTCTATAGACATGCAAATTGATATAAGTTTGAGAGAGAGAGAGAGAGAGAGAGAGAGAGAGAGAGAGAAATGTTATGTAATTATCCTTGAATTTTGTATCAAATTTCATACACTTTGGTCCACTGATTATTAATTATAATTATTTAACAATATCAAATTATTTTTATAACCAGACATTTAATATGATTTGCTTAAATACTGTACACATCATATGTGTCACATATACATAATTACATGTATGTCAATATAACATTTATTTACTTTATTAATATAGATAATACATATTATTACTATTTAAATATTTTATATAATAGAATATTTATAATTTTAAATGTAGTTCTAGTTTATAGTAAAACTTAATCTATAATATATACGGTTCATGTTTTATATCAAGAATTTCAAAACATAATGTTATGTATGACTAATATTTGATTAATAGTTTTCAAATATTATTTTGTGCAAAATCATTGAAATTACAGAATATGTCGAAACACTAATACATTGTATGATAAGTGTATTCATTAGATAATTATTCTGTGTTTACATTTCGCTTCAATTTAATCTCTTTATACATCTTATAAGAGAATCAAATAAGAGTCAAGACGTTAGTGAATTAAGTTTAAATTAATTTACATTTCATTATAAATATTACAAATTATAATTATATTTGGTTCACTAATTTTCAATACAATTCACTTAACAGTGTTATACATAATATAAAAATTAAGCTAATAATAAATAAGTTGTTGAACACAATTATTGATTAGTTGTATATATTGTATAAGATTTTGATTTTAGTGTGGAATATAATGAGAGCTCACTTTGTATTCAAATTCAGTAAACTTTGAAACTTTATTGAAGTGAATGACACTTAAGATGAGTCAATACAATCACTAAATCATAAGACACTGTAATGCAAAACAATAACTTTTATTTTAATAACACAAACATTTGGATAATTATACAATAATTTTCAAAATAGAAAATTTTACATACTTTTATATTAATGTTAATTTAAGTTTAATTTAAAATTAGTTCACAATGTTTTAAATTACTTGTTTAATTATATAATTAAAGGTCAATAAAAATTATAATAAATGGCATTCGTATTAAAACATTATAATTATAAAAAGGGTACAAATTAATAAAATGTAAGAATTAAAGTCTCATTTTGGAGTACTTTTCCATTATAACAATGGCTTCGGTGTACTCTTTCTTATTATTCAATAACTCAATTCTCAACTCTTTGTCCGGATCTTCACCAATGATTTCATCGATTGTCGAGAACTGATCCCGAATCCGGACCTGGAGTTCAGTTCGTATGAACTTTGAGGTCACGTTAATCAGTTCTAATTGACATAGTTTTGGCAAACGATCCCTACATTAAACCAATTATAATAAACATATTTAATATCAAATAATATATTCAATAATATTCATAACAAACTTAAATGTCTTCTTAAGGATAACAAAGTAGGTGTGAAGGTAGCGCTTCACTTCGTCTACTTGTGTGTTCATTACGTCGGGAAACGTCAAGTCTTGAGTCACACAATTGACATTCAATTGGGAACCGCTTTCGAAAGACTCGTCATATTTTAAATCCCAATCAATGGATTTAATAATCACTTGATTAGCCGCAACGGCGACCCCCACTTCCGCCAACCAATACCACCATTTATCCAATGCTTGTCGTGTATTAAACGTTAACATAAATTGGTTGCTAATGCGATAACTAATTAAATAAATTAAAGTAAACAAAATATTAACATTTACACAATATATTGAAAATGTTATACCTTTTGGGCAAAATGAGGACGAGTTTAGTGCTCTTCGCGTCTTTAAAAGTCATTTGACAGCCCTTTAAATCGATTGAACCTTTTTTGCCATTTTGTTTCTCGTCTTTAAACCAATAAAGAGTGGTGTCTTTGAGGACAAACCATAAGTCATTCTTCTTATATGAAATCCAATCCGACTTTAAGTTCTGTGCCTTTTGTTGAGGAGTTTGAGGATACAGTTGTGGCGGTGCTATGGGTGTTGTCTTACCATCACTTGTCAAACATATACATCAAAATTAATAACAGATTAATAACATTGCAATGAATACCCAATCATTTCTACGAAATCCTCGTGAAGAGTATTTGGATAACATCTCTCTGTTTGGATCAAATGGTCGACCATTTGTTTGCATTTCTGATTAGACTCGCGAACAAAATCCAAAGTCAAATCGGCGAAGACTTTCCTAAATTGGCAATAAATTTCACAATTTATAAAACAAATTACTTTTCAAAAACAATTCTCACTTTAGATTAGGAAAACAGTTTATATCATCCAAACATTTTCTGATTGTTTTCGTAATCTCATCGGTAACCCAATCGACACAAGTAATGGCCGGCTTTACGAAGAGTTCTGTTAAAGATTTATAAATAATATTGATAAGGTTTTGTCTCATATTTCACAATAAATACCAATTAAAGGGTCGACACATGAAGTGAATGCGGCGTCGGGTATGAAAACACCCAAACGAGTGCCGAACGAGTTTTGAATAGCGGTCGCGATCTTACGGGACAATCGCTTTTCGTCGTAAAACAAGAGTTCAATCTCTTTGGGAAACGTGTCGTTCATTAAGACATTGATTATTGCACCACAACTCAGATCATTGACGTCTACTCTCCAAACACTTCCTCCCATTGAGCTCTTGAAATGATTGCGAAACGACTCAATCGTTTGGGCCAATAGTCTCTCCTTTTCCATCGAGTCTTCCGGAAACTCGATTTTCTTCAAATACTCATTCACTTGATTTAATTTAAACTCCGTTTTGGCCTTCAATGGCGGCAATCGGACGGCGATGTGTGCAAACAGTTCCGTCTGAAGGAATTGCTGCAAATGATTAATTCCCATACGTTTAGCCATTGATGAGTACGCGGGATGTTCGACGAAGAACTTGTGTTCGTCGAGAAGTGCTTTCTTAATGTCTTTCTTGCCGTCGATGTCTTTTTGGGATCGATTAACCACTCCGTGAAATCCCCGCTTCAATTTGATGGCGTGGTGTCCGATCAGTATATTCCGGGCATCGGTTCCCGAGTCCATGAGATCCAGTTTAGTGAGGACACCGATAGTGCGGTCGCCCTCGGGATCTACTTTGTTGGCCAGTTTTAGGGCATCAGATGTGGCCAAATCTATTTCAACATTTAATTAAACATATTGTATATAATCATAGCTATTAATGGATACCTTGGTTGGCGGGAGTGACCGCCAAAATAAGACAATTTTCACCAGAAATGTAGTCCAAAATCATTTTCTCAATTTGAGATTCAATATCCCAGGGCTGACTCCCAACGGCTACTCTTGTCATACCCGGGAGATCTACTAGAGTGAGATCCAACACTTTCGAGGAATATATCTTCAGACCGATTGGTTTGGGAGATATGGCGCACTCTGCGGGCACTTCTCGATTGGTTTCCGCAATGATTTCAGCTCTGATATCATTGAAATCGCAAAATTGATTTCCGGGTGAATGAGAAAACTCACCGAAATCTACAAAATCCATACAAATAATCATTTTATTCAAACAATTACAAGACATCCAATAGTTATACCTTCTGTAATGTCTTTGTCTGCTATCAGTTGGAGAACGAGTGGCCTTCGGGTGACTATACCTGTCCCGCGGGGCAGGAAATCGCGGCCAACTATGCTCTCCAAAACACTGGATTTGCCCGAAGACTGGCCACCGATCACAACAATCTGTGGCAAATCAAACTCAAGACTATCTTTGAGTTTGTCTTGAAGTTCATTCACTACTTGAATGAGATTTTGGGCAAATTTATTCATTTTAAACAGAAATATCGATTGAGTATTAAATTGATTATAACTTATAAATGATAACACAATCAATACTCTATTAACACTCACTACGATAATTATATCTACGGCAATTTTATCACAATAGCCTTTCCCTGTATTGCTATATAATGCTCGTAATGTATACCAGAGGGAGGTTGTGATAAAATTGCCGTAGATATAATTATCGTAGTGATCGTAAATTGCTTTCAAATACAATTGAAATGATTTGGTGTGAAATAAACGGTCGCTTTGTTAGCGAATTACCAAAACATGTGCTTTGAATGAGTGTTAAGAAAGCAATGATTTTTATTAGTGATCAAAATGTTAAGCAATTAATGCTTTGCTGTAATAATTGGTTCAGTATTACAGTTGTACTACACGTACACTAATTTTTGGTCACTTTTGATTGGCTTTTATTGTTTTGTATTACGTTAACAAAAAATGTAAGATTTTGATGAAATTACCAAAAGTTTTGCAATCATTGATTGCCAAACAATTACTGCTTTACTGTTATATTTATTATAATTTTACAGTTAATGTAACTTAAAAATTGACAAAATCATTGGAATTTATTCATAATTATTGCATTATTTTAATGAATGACATTCAAAATTGACCACTAATTTAAACTTTATTTAAATACAAAACTAAACTTTTATTAATTTTTAAAACAATTTAACATTCATTTTGGAAATAATTTAAATTTAATTTAAATATAATTTGCAATCATTTTATTAGAGAAATTATGTAATTTTTACACACTTTTAACCATAGATTATAGCAATTAAATGATTTGATTACAATTTAAGATTTTTAACCACATTTGTAATTAAAATTGTCTATTAAAATGTATGCATTAATTGCTTCACTTTTATTTTATAGGATTTGAATACAATGTTTGGGATTTATTAATAAAAGTCACATTAAATTATTATAGTTTTATCAAAATAATGAAATTAAAAAATTTTTGTATTAATTTTAATTTCTTTTCCATTTGGCACACAATTAGTTATATAATTAAACGTCATAATTAAGATTATAATAAATAGCATTCATATTAAAACACAATTATAAAAAGCATTAGATTTGCACAAAAAAGTTACATTTAAATTATTACAGTTTTATCAAAATACAAAATTTACACATAATTATATTAATGTAATGTTAATTAGTTTTCAATTTGAATATAAAATAAATAATTTAAATTTGTTGCAAATTATTGGCACACAATTACTTAATAATTATAGAATTAAAGGTCATAATTAAAGTTATAATAATGTCAAAATTGTGTTTACAATTAAAAATAATAATTATAAACACAAAAAATTAAAATATGAATATAAATAAAGAAACCATATTTAAAATCTCATCTTATGGTACTTATCCATTATAGCGATGGCATCGATGCAATCCTTTTTCTTATTTAATAACTCAATCCTCTCGTCTTTGTCGGAATCTTCACCAATGAGTTCATCGATTGTCGAGAACTCATTCCTTATACTGATCTGGAGTTCGGTTCTTATGAACTTTGAAGTGGCGTTTATGAGCTTTAATTGACACAATTTAGGCAAACGATCCCTACATTCAACCAATTATAATAAACATATTTAATATCAAATAATATATTTAAAAATATTTATAACAAACTTAAACGTCTTCTTAAGTATCACGAAATACGTGTGAAGATATCGTTTCACTTCATCGACTTGTGGTTTCATTACGTCGGGAAACGCCATGTCTTGAGACAAACCGTTGGCACTCAATTGGGAACCGCTTTCGAAAGACTCGTCACATTTTGATTCCCAATCAATGGCTTTGGGAGCAGCGGATATTGAAAGAGGCTTAACACCTGCACCTGTTAACCAATTATACCACCTATTGGTGGCATCCTGTGAATTAAACGCTATCACAAATTCATTGCTTGTGCGATAACTAATTAAATGAAACAAAGCAAAATAATATTAGATTATTATCAGATAGTGTGCAAATGTCTCACTTGTCTGGCAAAATGATAGCCAGGTTCCAACCGTTGAGCACCACTTGACAGCCCTTTAAATCCAGTGAACCTTTTTTACCATTTTGTTTCTCATCTCTAAACCAGTAAAGAGTGTTATCTCTGAGAACAAACCACAAGTCATTCTTCTGGTATGAAATCCAATCGCATTTCAAATTCTGGGTGTTTTGGTGAACCGTTGGAGTCGCGCCATAGACTTGTGCCGGTGCTATCGGTGTTGTCATTCCATTGCTTGTCAAATATATAAAGATTAATAGATAGATAATAAAAATTTACATTAAAATTAATAGATAATAAATATTAGTAATGTATTAAATACCCAATCATTTCTATAAAGTCTTCATGAAGTGTATTAGGATAGCATTTCTCCATTTCAATCAATTGCTCGACAATTTCTCTGCATTTATCATTAGATTCGCGAACAAAATCAAGAGTCAATTCGGCGAAGCATTTCCTTAATTAGCAATAATTTTCACAATTAATAAAAATTATTAATTAAACAAACGCTTACTTTAAATCAGGAAAACCTTTGATATCGTCTAAACATTTGTTGATTGTTTTTATCATCTCATCGGTTACCCAATCGATACAAGCGATGGACGGTTTTCGGAACAGTTCTGTTAATAATCAAAATTATTTATAATATTTTATTTCACAATTTAATTAAATACCAATTAATGGGTCGACACACGACGTGAATGCGGCGTCGGGTATGAAAACACCCAAACGAGTGCCGAAAGAGTTTTGAATAGCGGTCGCGATCTTACGGCCCAAACGCTTCTCGTCGTAAAACAAGAGATCAATTTGTTTGGGAAATGTGTCGTTCATTAAGACATTGATTACTGCACCACAACTCAGATCATTCACATCCACTTTCCAAACACTGCTTCCCATTAAGTTCTTGAAATGAGTGCAAAACGAGTCAATCGTCTGAATCAAAAGCCTCTCCTTTGCCATCGAGTCCTCCGGGAACTCAATTGTCTTTAATGCTTCGTTAACTCTACTCAACTTCTCCTTTGTTTTGGCCTTTAATGGCGGCAATCGGTTGGCGATGTGTTCCGACAATTGCTTCTGAAGGAATGTTTTCACATATTCAATACCCATACGTTTGGCCATCGATGGCCCGTACGAGGGATGATCCACAAAGTACTGGTGCTCGTCTTCCAGCGCTTTCTTCATATCTTTGTTTCCTTCGATGTCTTTTTGTGATCGATTAACCACTCCGTGGAAACCTCTCTTCAATTTGATCCCGTGTTTACCGTTCAGAATATTCTTAGCATCGGTTCCCTTATCCATGAGATCCAGTTTCGTGAGAACACCTATAGTGCGGTCGCCCTCGGGATCCACTTTGTTGGCCAGTTTTAGGGCATCAGATGTCGCCAAATCTGGATTAAGGGATATTTAAATTAGTTATAAACATATACTGTAATTGGATTTCACATTAAATGATACCTTGATTCGCGGCGGTGACCGCTAATATCAGACAATTGTCTTTTTTAATGTATTTCAAAATCATTTCTTCGATTTGAAACTCAATATCTTTGGGTTGGTTCCCAACGGCCACTCTTGTCATTCCCGGCAGATCTACAAGAGTTAGATCCAACACATCCGGCGAATGGATCTTCAAATTGATAGGAATTGGAGATATTCCGCAATCTTCGGGAACCACTCGATCCGTTTCGGCACGGATTTCATTTCGGATTTCATTGAAATCGCAAAATTGATTTCCGGGTGAATGAGAAAACTCACCGAAATCTGTGAAAACCATATAAATAATTTATTCAAACAATTACAAGACATTCAATAATTTTTATACCATTTGTTATATCTTTGTCTGAAATCAATTGCAGCACAAGTGGTCTTCGGGTGACAATACCCGACCCGCGGGGCAGGAAATCGCGGCCAACAATACTCTCTAAAACGCTGGACTTTCCCGACGACTGGCCACCGATGACAACGATTTGTGGCAAATCAAAGTCCACACTGTCTTTCAGTTTTTCTTGCAATTCATTCACCACTTGAATGAGATTTTGAGCAAATTTAGCCATTTTTAATGCAATTGTCGATACAATTGAGTATTAATTATATTATAACTTATAAATTAAATTATAAAACAAGACAATCAATACTCTCTGAATGGCTTTAAAATACAATTTAAAAATTTTCTGTTAAATAGTGATTTTGTTAGCAAATTAACAAAACATGTGCTTTGAATGAGTGTTAAAATGCAATGATTTACTGTAATAATTGGTTCAGTAATACAGTTGTACTTAGGGTTGGCAATATGACAAACCATGTATTTTATGTATGTAATTTACATAGTATTTTACATGTATTTTACATGCAC